GTCCAGACCTGTCTCCCATTGAAACTGTGACACATTATGACACACAACATACAACAACAGAAACCCTGAACTGTTGAGCAACTGAAGTTCATCAAACTAGAATGTGAAAGAACTCCAGCTGCAAAGCTTCAACAATCAGTGTCCTCTGGTCACAAACACTTAGTGTTGGTCAAAGAAAACTGATGGAACTCAGTGGTAAACATGAACCTGTCCCTGCTTTTTTAGAATGTGTTGCAGCATCAAATGCAAAATAAGTGAATATTAAAAAATTAAAATATATAAATAAAGGTTTAAAATGTATGGAGTTCCATTTGTGCCAAAAATATGTTGTTGAGCCTTTGTCCATGTTCTGATACCTTGTGTTGACACACAAAATTGTTTTGTTCTAGTGCTGGGCGGTATACCGTTTTGTACCGAAAACCGGTTTTTATTTTTGTTATGATATGACTTTTCTGAATACCGGTGTAAATAGCCTGAACACRTGTGGAACGTTTTGTCGCGGCCGCCAGTGAGCTGTTTCCCTGGGGACACATTTCGTTGCAGCACCGCTAAGCGCATAGCATGCTAACGTTATTGTTGGAACCACTGGCGGCGGTGGTGTATTTCAGCTGCTTATATGGTCTGATGTAAAAAAAATGTTTTCACCTTCGCTGAATAGTAAACAACTCTTCAGTGACGCGCACGGTTAGATTTAACGCACTACGTTATAACGGAGACGTTATTGCATGGAGACTCTAGCGTGCTTCTATTGTGAAAAGCCCAGGGGGAAGTAGCTTTGTAGTGTAGCGGAGTTGACTGATGTGCAAAGTGAGTCGTCCTTATTTTATTAATGTGTTTTATTAACACATAACGATAGACCAGATAATGATTTTTTCTCAACCCTTCACGATCTGACCTAAACGCATGATTACTGTCTACAACCAGGCAAAGAAGAAAAAATGTACAAGAGGAGGGAAACAGTGACACAGAGGTACAGTAAAAGAAAAAAGTCAATAAGCAAAGTTTGTACATTTTATTAACAGCTGAGCTGTGAGGAAAAAAATACCGTCAAATACCGTGAAACTGGTGTAATTGTTGAAAATACCATGATATAAAATTTGGGTCATACCGCCCAGCTCTATTTTGTTCTGTCTGTAGTTACAGTATGTTGTTAGACCATGTTGTTTAATGTGTTGCCTCCTTAAGTAGTTTTCATTTGCTGTTACAACCTGTCAGGTGCAGACAACAGGTTGTAACAGCATAATGTGACAGCAAAAAGAGCAGACAGGTGACAGGTTGTAACAGCAAATGAAAACTATTTAAGGAGGCAACACATCCAACAACATGGTCTAACAACATAACTTCAGACAGAACAAAACAACGTTATGTGTCAACACAAGGTATAAGAACATGGACAAAGGCTCAACAACACATTTTTGGCACAAATGGAACTCCATAAAAATGGTGTTTTTAAGTTTTGAGTTGATCCACGTAGGGGAATTTAAGTAAAACTAAACTCTAAATTGTACAACATATAGGTTATTTATGCTCACGTTGACATTTGTCTTGCCRTCCTACCTGTTCATGCATGATGTTGGACAGTTCCCTGATCATGTCCCTGTAGTTCGCCTTCATCTCATCATGATACTCCTGCTGGTCTTCTTTAATCAGTCGTTCGTTCACTCCCAGTGCCTGTCCACAGGCRTCCACAAATTGCCTGGGGAGGAGGGAACATATGTTTGTAAAAAGATCTGTCCATAAATAAAGCTTGACCACAGTGAAGGACGGTCGTTGAGTGTTTTTTAGCAACAGAAATTGAGACTGAGAGACTGGACCAAAGGTTCACCGTCCAACAGGATAATGCTAATACCAAAGCTAAACTAGTATGGACCGGGGACAATTCTATCAAAGCCTGAAAGACCAAATGTCTCTGGAGGGACATAAAATGGTGGTCTGTCAACGATCTCCATGTACTTGGACTGAGATTAGGAGGATTTGTGACAAAAATAGGTGGCAGTGGTGGGCACAGCTGCACTAATCACTAACAGCTAATAGCAAATTTTGTTTGTGTTCAGAGGATTAGCATTTAGTGGATCRATTAGCTTCTGCTAAAYGTAGTTCTGCTAAGTTTTGATCCTCTAACAAAAACAACTTCCCCCCCACACATGCAATGCTTACATGCCTGTGTCATGTTCCTTGTGTGTGTAGCATCTGTAGCATGTTGTGTGTCACCTGCGTTAGTCTTAAACTGCAGTTTGTTTACTTGCTGATACAACAGCTTGTGGTTTTAACTGCTTGATRGATGCAGAAATGTTTTTAATGAGGTTTTAGTCAAGGTTCTAATGTTTCTGTGAATGTCTCACATCTACAGCAGGTAAAATAAGTATTGAACACGTCAACATTTTTCTCAGTAAATATATTACTAGAGGTGCTAATG